TCTTCTATCTTGATAATGATGACTTAGATCATCGAAACGTCGATTCTTCTTTTATTTTATTTCAATAAACATAATTTCGTTATGTTATTTCAAGTCGCTGTTATTTACACATTTCTTTTGATAAAATTCCGTGTTTTATTTTCCTAGAAATTGATGGCGTTATGATCGGAAAAATATTTTTGGAACAAATGACTTACTGTCAATCAATTTCTTTACTGCATCCGGTTGCAGGTTATCAAATACGGTAAGTAATTCAGGATTCTCGAAAACTACAAAGAACTATAGATAAATTGTTGTAATAGGATCATTTTCTTACTCTTAACATCTAAAGATTGCATCATTGATTGTCGAATGGAGTCCATTTCTTTATGGACTTTTGCTTTCCTATAGAACATGACAATGTTGATGCTATTTTACCAGAAAATTAACAAACATACCATTTCAAAACCATCAACGTGTCGTCAAGGAACCTGTCGGAGCTTGCTGGAATCGCGAAGAGCTGTACCGGAACCGACTCAGATTTCAACGGATCCAGTCGCCGGAATGATCGACCTGGGAAAAAGCAAATTATTTACCATTCCATTTTTTCATGTTGAACAAACAAACAGCTCGTTCATATCGATGTTGATTTTGAATTGGACCATGTGTAGATTGCACCAAAGCATTCAAGGTCTATAAAGATCAAGACGTTAGTTTGACTAATTACCGTTGTGATTAACTTACTTTTAAAGTACTGATCGAGTGTACTGAGCTTTTGGATGGTGCCATAGTGTTACAAAATTCATATTTTACGTTGTCGATATTTATTTTGTTATCTACCTCACACTCGACTTTTACTGTATTATTTCCATCGAGCAAGTTGCGAACCGATGACATAATTAGTGAGCTGTTCTCAAGAAACAATGTTTATGTTTATATCGAAATAGACGAGTTGGATATGAAGCGGATCATCGCGAACACTACGTTTTATATACTTCGGAGACAATGGAACAGAAAAGAATATGATTAGCGGCCGTCTAGGCAGAATAAAAATGAAACTACGCAAACAATCGTTGTTTTCATGAAGTAGTTGTAATTAGGACTCTTAAGTCCAATTTCCTTTCGTCTTATCGGAGTATGATATTAACACTTTCACTTTCACAGAATACTCATTCTATTCCGATTTTTCAACCGATATTTTTAGTCAACAGCAACATACAAAAAGCAGTTAGTTTATTGAAAAGCTCAATTTATTTATCTGAGGATTTAGCACGTTGCTGATACTTTAGTTTGTTTAGCTAAAGTATCTTTCCCTGGTTCGGAATGTTCTGTGTGTTGGACAATATTTCGCACACCACAGTGAATAATCCTGTCGAGCTTCATTTGAAGTGTATGCACTGATTGTTTGTCTGGAAACATTTGAGGAAAACGACAGCTAAAACAAGGAATTCTTTTCAGTAAAACACCCTCAAGAATAGCGTTACCTGAGCCATAAGTAGAGATCGAAACAATCAAAAACTTCTTCCAAATGTGCCAAATCAGTCACTGTGCTTGGGACTTCAAATGAACAATTGATCTCTTTCAAAAGCCATTCCATTGACATTGGCTCATTTTGACTGAATCGTTGGGCATACTAAATCAATCATCAATGAATAAGATGATCTCAAAACAGCGTTTCCTACTTTCAACAACATGGCACAAACGAATGGTATTCGTCGATTGATGGGAGCACATGAGAATACATAGCGCACCTGAAGTGATAATGGAACGTGTTCGATAATATCTGCTAAATATTTCATATCATCGACATTGCACATGAAATATAAGTTTCGGTCCAGTTGTGAAAGTGTCAAGAAAATGTCCTAAACAAATGCAAAGCTGGTTAGTTATCATTCGACTCAAAGACATTCTCTCCGTACAATTAGACTTGAAAGTGATTGTTTCGGTAGATAATAAGCAAACATTTCTATTTGTTCAGCTGTTGGATGGAGGCCGGCGCGCTGAAAAATTGAACGGATGTATGTTTTCTCTTTTGTTTTTACGAAAGATGATTTACTTCAATAGGCTTTGCTTGCTGATTGAGAATTTCGTTCAATCGCGACATGTCATCACGACGAAATGTTGTCACTTCACCATCAGGAAATGCACTGCCGAATCTAAAGCTTTCCACTCTAGATACGCATTTATTCGCACATATTTTTTCGTACCTTCCAGCTCGACCAGCAATTTGCAGAGCTTGAGATGTTGTGACATCAGCTTTTTGTTTATTGCCTTCGTCGTTCATCTGTGACTTGACAAGACTGTAGAAGACAACACGCTTGATACTCCTTAAAATTAAAAAAAATCATTCTAGATTTGAGAAAGCAGATCGGCTAACGTACAGATTCAAGCCCATTCCGATGGCATCTGTAGCGACAAGGATTTTACATTTGTCATTTGGGTCGTTGAAACGCCGCGCCTGTAATAGCTTTGTACTAGGTGGTAATGATCCATAGATGACAGCCACTTCATGACCACGTTTTTCTAATTCCCGAGTAATGTGAAAGATGTCGTTTTTGTTGAAACACACGAAGCAATCACCGGATCGGACATTATCAAATGATTCTGATGAAGTCAAATCATTGTTTTCATACAAAAAATGGATAACTACTCACCTATGGCGTGATCTAAATGCGATAATTTAGTTAATCGCTGATACTGTCGAACTTCGAAATCGTCTTCGACAGTGAGCATTAATTCCTCGAGTAGCTTTTGTGTAGATATTTCTCCACAAAGATGAATTTCTTTTGCTTGAAGGCCTGCATAAAACAGAACTGCGATTATTGAAGTATTTGAAATGACGCATACCAAGTAAAGCGCGTGTCCATGCCCAACCACGTTGTGGATCACGAATCATTTGAATTTCATCAATAACAGCAACATCATCTATCAAATAAAATTCAGTGACAAACTTGATTACTCTTATGTACATACAAAGTGTATTCAAATTTGTCATTTCAACAGTGCACGCAACGTGATTTGCTGGTTTACCATCTATATCGACGAGGCGTCGTTCTTCGCCCGTAACCAAATCACATTTTGTTCCCTATGAAAACAAGAATAGACTCATCCATTCGATGATCGAAGTCAAATCTCTACCGCTGTATTCGTCTTATGGAAAACTTCCGATGCTAATAATTTTAACGGCCCACAGTATACTCCACTGTCACTGTTCATGAAACGTTGTAAAGCGTGATATGTCTATGAACATAGAAAAAGTGAAAAAGTTTCCAACAGTCGATCGATACTTTTCCACTGTTTGTTGGTCCTGCGTGAAATATAATCTTTCGTTTCATACGTCTGGCATCAAGATACCTAAATTCTGTGATATTGAGCAAGTACGTACTTCTCTTATCAAACAGCATAGTTACCAATTGCCTGGATTACGAAGATCGCTTATTTTCCTCAAATCGTCCACACACTTCAAGTGTGGAAACATTTGTCGTGCATGTTGAAAGAAATATGGAAACATCGCAGTTACATTACCTATTGTCATATGAATCAAACAACGAATAAAAGAGCAAACAAATATTTACTAGAACCAGATATAATATCATTTAAGATGAGATTGAAATCAGCCGGCAGAGAAGTTGATTGTATACAATATTTGCGGAAACTAACATAAACATTTTTGAAGATTTCGGAGTCGAGACCTTGATTAATAGCAAGTTTTTTAACGTCATCACGTCGATAAAAATCATTGATAATACGGAGAAAATCATCTGTTAAACCGAAACGGAATATTGAAAAAATAAGAAATATTCGAAAACTCACTTCGTTTTATGCTCTTATCGTATGAGGCACTCGCTCCAATCGCTATGAGATTCTCATATGTTGTCTGCACAACGACATCATCTTTGAGAATCATTGGTTTGACTTGAATTGATCGTCGATGAGAACTCGTTAATCTATCTCTATGATTGTTTGAATATTTTTCATTTGAATGATGACGTTGTGTATACAATGTTCGACACAGTATCGATTTTGACTCAAAGCATCTCGACAGAAACTGCCTTTTGATGATAGTGAACATTTTTACTGATAATCTATAAGTAACCAAAGTATTTTACTCCCATATTTGTTCATTTCACAATAGAGAAACATTTCCAGTGTGGCTGAAGTCAGAGCAATCTTGTTCTCTCGTTTCCTTTTGTTTTCTACAACACAACAAAGGAAAGAGCATCTTGCTTATCGTTGAAACTTCTTCGAAAACGAATGAAAAAGACCTTCGTTGTTATATCGCTGTTTATTGTCATGAGACAAAAATCTTCACTCTCATCAGAATCAATAGTGATCGAGATGGTTCGAAAAAAGAAATCAAAAACAATGAAAGAAAAAAAACGTTTGTTTAGTTCTTCTGTTTATTTGAAACGAATCATCGCCGACATATCTGCTTGAGATTTCTTTCTCGCTGATTTGACTTTATTGCTGGAAACTGTCTTCATCTTGATCATCGTCGAGTTCATCCATTACTTCGATATTGTTGCCACCCGTTCCTGGATTGACTCGGATTGATATAGATAAAGATAAATTGGTAAACCGGTGATCTTCATTTGTCCACTTGACATCGATAATTGAGCGAATTTCGATTCCGGAACGAATTCTCCTTCTTCTTCCTGGTACATTGGCTATGGGTCGACGAGATCATACTTCGCACGTTCGATGACATCCATTCGTGCTCGTTTTTCATCTTAGAAGTGTCACAATGTAAATGCCATCAATATGAAACGTTTTTCCACTTCGGATAAGAATGTCCGTGATGATTTCACATGTCGTTGATAGATGAAATCTTCGTTCTCGTAAACAGTTGTACGAATGTCGATTTCACGTGGTTTGCCTTCACCGGATGAGACTAAAACCAACAATCGCATCGACTTCATCTAAGGCGAATTCTTCTTTTTCGCTGTTGCGTCTCATTGGGATTGAGGCAGACATTCCTTTCGCCATCAATGATTCCACGTAACATTTGAGATAATCTAAACGAATGCATTTCGTTGCAAAAGCAAAAGCTGATTGTGGAAAATTTGTTATTACTTTCGTGACGGTTTGCGACGATTCACACCACTCAGTACGATCGACTAGTTCGGTCACGTGAAGATGATGTTGATTTGGTTGAGTTCAACGAAGAGCAGGCTCGATTGCATGTGGTGAAATGGTTCTATCTAAAACAAAAGAAAACATTCATATCTAAAAAGAAAAAGAGAAATTAAGTTAAGAAAAAAATAAAAATTTAAAACTGTTCTCTTGTACTGTCGCAGTGGTCACAAAGGAGCAAATCATAGGAGGATTTGCTCCAGCAATTGACCACCGCTTTTTCTGTCGCAAACCGGACGAAAAAAGCCCACCGGTTTGAAAAGCAGACATGGACATTGTGAGTCCATGCCTGCTGGTATCCGGTGGCCTTTACTTACGATCCTTCATCAGGCTCAGCAAGTTGTCCAGTTTGCTGTCCAGCCCCTCCTGCGCGTCTTTCACGGCGAGGAAGCCTGCTTTGACCTCCTTCCGCAACGCATCGAGGCCGGCCTCTACGTCACCCAGCCGTGACTGGATGGAAACGGTCGGCGCCTGGGCAGAACCGGACCCAGGCGGACCGGCTCTTGTGTCACCAGCGAATATCTAAAGAAAAAAAAAAAGTTTATTTTCATAGAAGTAACAAGTTTTGTCACGGAGAGCCCTTACTTTATTGTCTTCAATCGCCATTCTCTCTATCTGTCTCAGCAATTTTTTCTTCCTTCCTCTTTCTTCCCCTCAAAACAAAGCCATTATTCTCTTTCCCTACGAGCCAATAAGAAAGAGGCCTCGAACTGTAGTGTCTCTCGATATCTATCCACACTAGTCATTGTCTCCATCTACCGTCTCAAGCGAACGAAAAGAAAAAGAAAAAGCAAAACAGCTTACCGTGCCGCCAGTGCACATGGCGTCTGGTAACTTAGACATTCAAACGAAAATGTCTTCGTATATATATGCAGATTTCGAGTTTTCTTGCGCTTTATATACGTTCGCTCGTTCTTCTATTTTCTCTCTCTCACTCTGTCTCTCTGTCTCTCTGTTCGATAGATATGGATTATTATGAAAACATCTTTAGCGAAAAAGATAGAAATTCATCCCAAGATCATTATTCTTTGATAGAATGTAAACAACAGAAAGATCATTTAACCACATGGCTTTGCATTTATATGCGCTATTTAATAGACCTCGAGTTGAAGTGAACACCTCGATGGGTTCGAAAGGGTCAATCATTCAGACGAAAAAGCGAAAGTACTTGTAGAAAGAGCGAATTCGAATAAAATCGAGAAGAATGTTCGAGAAACGATCCAAACGGGTTTCTGAATGAACAAAATATTCTACAAAGAGGGCCAAATTCTGTTAGTTTCGAACATTTATAGTCTTTTCTTTCCATTTGTGAAAACCATATGAGGCTTTTTTATTTCGCTTCTTTGTGAAAAGTCTATGTTTATTAACGAGAAAAAAACATTCTATTCAATGCAAAGCTCGATTGATTCGTGTAACAGTTTGCTGATGCTTCAGCCCATGTAGCCAAATTATCTGTTGCTGGTTTTTGGAAAAGCAGCTCATATATGACATACAGATTCAAACCCATTCCAATGTCATTTGCAGCAACAATAGCTTTCCACTCATCATTGAGATCATTGCCACTTCATGACCATGTTTTTCTAATTCCCAAGTAATGTGAACTATGTCGTTTTTGTTGAAACGCACGAGACAAGTACCGCATTGAACATTGTCAAACGATTCTAACAAGGTCAAGTCACTTCTTTCATACAAATAGGAACAAATGCTCACCTATGATGCGATCTAAATGTCGTGATTTAGTTAATCGTTGATTCTGTCAAATTTCGAAATCATCTTCTGTCATCGTCATTAATTCTTTGGCTACTTTTTCCTTCGATGCTTGTCCATAAAGGTTTGTTCCTAAACCTGAAGAAAAAGAATGCGACAGTAGACTTGTTTGAGAAAACATACCAAATACAGTATGTGTTGACGTCCAACTACGTTTTGGGTCACGAATCATTCGAGTTTCATCAATAATACCAATGTCATCGGTTAAACGAGAAGTTTGTGTGAAATCATCAGTCCGGATAATGGTATTGTGTATGCAACGTGACTTGCTAATGCGCCATCTGAATGAGCGGGACGACGTTCTTCGCTCGTAACTAAATCACATTCGACACACTACACAATCAATGATGCTTTAGCAGTTAAACCGGAAAAAGAATATCTTCACCACAGTATTTGTTTTATGAAAAGCTTCCGGAGCTGATCATTTCAACAATATCTACGATAAACTTCACTATTACTATTCGTCGATCGTTGTAAAGCATGAGATGTCTGCAAATAAACGAAAAAGAAGGCAAAATATCTCGATTAGAAAGTATCACGGGGTACTTTCCCACTGTTTGTTGGTCGATCGTAAAACATAATCTTTCGTTTCATACTCGTACAAATGAATATCTAAGTCATATTCCATTCAGAAGTATCTTTTTCCAAAGAAAAATCAGCCAAACAGCTGGATCGTGCGGGCCATTTCTCTTTTTCAAATCGTCCACATATTTCAATGGTGAAAACATTCGTTGCGCATGCCGAAAGAAGTATGAAATTGCTGGAATAGCACCACCTAGTTTTTCATAGCATATACAAAGAGGACAATCAAATCATGCTCATTGGAATTCGATGCAATATTATTCGAGATAAGATAAAAACTCTTGAGTAGGACAGCTGATTGTACACAATATTCGCGAAAGATAATCCAGACATTTTTGAACATTTCAGTATCGAGATCTTAATCGATGGCCAACTGTTTGACTTTATCACGCCGATAAGATCCATTGATAATACGAGAACAAGAATCCTATTTTATAAACTAAGACACAGCTAGATTTACTTCGTTTCAGGGTTAACTCAGATGTCTCCTTTTCCCAACATTTATGAGATTGCCATGCGTGTTGTATGGAATGTTCGATTCAATGAGACGTAGCCAATTTTATTCAAAATCAATTTACACTGCGACGGCAAACATATTAGATGCCAATTATTATGAAATGAACGTTGGATAAAGGTATATCTCCATCGCCTGAGAAATCAGGAAATTAAATATCATGAGAGTAATATTTTTTCCTTACTCAATATGTCTTGAGATATGGATGAATAATATCTTTGTTGTTATTTCGCTGTTAATTGTCATGAGACGAAATCTTCACTCTTATCAGTATCAACCGTGATGAAGAGTTGGAAAATAGAAACAAAAAAAAGAGAAAAAAAAACATTTGTTTGGTTTTTCTGTTTGTTTCGAGCGAATTATTGCCGACGCATCTGTGAACGTTAACATATCTGCTTAAGATTCGCTTTTCGCTGGTTTAGCTTTCTGGCTTGTAGTTTTCTTCACCGGTTGTTCAGATTCATCTTCGAAATCTTCATCGCCATCATCTTCGAGTGCATCCATTGTTTCAATGTTGCTTTCACCCATTCCTGAATTGCCAGTGCCTTTCTTCTTCTTCTTCTTGTTCTTCTTCTTTTGTGTTGAACTTGTCAACAGCTGTTTGATGTCACTATCGGTGATTTGGTACTCGGATTCGTACAGATCTAGATCAATTGGTAACCCGGTGATCTTCATTTGTTCACTTGGCATCAATAATCCAGTGAATTTGAATTCGGCAACGAATATTCCTTCTTTTTCTGGATAAACTGGATATGGTTTGACAAGATCATGCTTTGCACATTCGATGACACCCATTCGAGCTCGTTTTTCATCTTGGAAGTGTCACAATGTAAATGTCATCAATATGAAACGTTTTTCCACTTCGGATAAGAATGTCCGTGATGAGTTCACATGTCGTTGATAGATGAAATCTTCGTTCTCGTAAACAGTTGTACGAATGTCGATTTCACGTGGTTTGCCTTCACCGGATGAGACTAAAACCAACAATCGCATCTACTTCATCTAAGGCGAATTCTTCTTTTTCGTTGTCACGTCGTTGCATGTCATTGGGGTTGAGGTAGATTTTCTTTTCGCCATCGATGATTCCACGTAACATTTGAGATAATCTAAACGAATGTATTTCATCGAAAATCGAAAAGTTGATGGT